CTTCAAGTGGTCTTATAAGGGTTATGCTGAGTTCAATATTGTATAACTGTATTAATTTAACTGTGAACCTCAAAATTTACAGCTAATTTTGAAAGAGAAGCATCTTTGCTCTGGAAATTGTTATTGAATATGTTAATGATGTAATGAAAAAAAAAATTAGTAGATGTGAAAAACATTACCATTGAAATCTACCTGATGACTTTATATCCATGCTCAGATGCCTAGAAGCTCAGAAAGTAACCAACTGTGACTAGTAATAATCAGATATTTAGAGATTAGAAATGCATGTGCAAACATCCAATGTCAATTGCATTGAAAAAGAATTTTCCTATATGAACTGTGTATTTTAATAATGAAATGGAGAACTTTTTTAAAGGTTAAAACATCATTTAATTTATGTCTTATAGGGTTTATACTGAGTACAATATTGTATAACTGTAATAATTAACTGTAAACCTAAAAATTTACAGCCAATTTTGAAAGAGATGCATCCTACCTCAGGAAAATGTTATTGAATATGTCAATTGTGTTGTAATGATATGCTTCTTCTAAGTATGTTGCTATTAAATAAATCATTTTTAAAAATTAAAAAAAAAACAAGGGGTTAGAAAGATGGCTCAGTGGCTAAGAGCACTGCTTGCTTTTGCAGTGGACCCAGGTTCAGTTCCCAGCACCCACTAGCTTATGGATGAAGAGATATCATAAGGAGGGTTTGGGTGGTTTCTAGAGAATGCTCTTACTTATAGATGAGGAAGGTTCAGAAAGAAACCAGGAGTTTAGGAGAGAAAGAGTCTTCACTGTAGAATACTGATTGGGGGAGACATGATGGGAAAATGTATGAGAGACTGGAAATAAGGATCAGGGAATGGATGAAAAGGTGTTATGTGTTCATGTGTACATGCGGGAGTTGAGATAATGTGAGCCTTGAGTCTTTTGATCATGTGATCAAAGTTGAAATAATGTGAGCCTTGAATCTTATGATCATTTGGTCAAAGAGACAATACATTCACAGAAATCCTTGCTTTAGACAAATGTCTTTACTGACAGTATCACTAAGACCAAAGCCTCAGGATGTTACATACTTATATAGTACACAGCTTGTGGGAAGCTCTCTCCCCTTCTTTTAATTTCTTTTTTGAGGAACAAGAGCCCATAATCCACAGCTACAGATGTTTCTAATTTAAATTTCATTGCATATGCTAGCCGCCTCAGTTGGTGTTTACTGAACTGAATGCGATTACAGAATGCTGACTTCATAAATCTAAGAACCACAGTCTTCAGGCAGTCTTTAAAGAAACAGATATGTGACATGAGGCAGAGATGGGTTCTCTGCAATGACAGCAAGCAGGGCTTAACCATTAACACCCATAAAGCCATATAAACATCAAGTTGCTAACTCTTGAAGCAGTGAACCCTGTAATTTGTTAACTTTCGTGATAGTGCATAATACTAGACTACAGATAATCTGGAAAGCGTTTATCAACTAGTCAGGACATCTGGAAGAAAGAAGGAATTTTCTTAGAGTAAATATTTATCTTCAATTAAAAAACTTTATGTTATATTTATGTATGATATTTTTGCCTGTATGTCTGAAAGTTCACCTGTGCATACAAAGTCCATGGGGGCCAGAAGAGGGCTTTGGATTCTCTAGAATGGGAGTTATGCATGGTTGTCAGACAGCATGTGGGTTGATGACGGAACCTGGGTCCTCTGCAAGAGCAGCCATTGCTCTTAACTGCTGAGTAATCTTTCCACCCTCATCTTCAAAATTTTAAATTTCTTATTATTTTGTATATACGTGATGTGTGCCTGCACATGCCACAGACAGCATGTGAACATTAGACAGTAACTGTGTGGTCGGTTCTCTCTTTCCACCTTTACCTGTATTTGTGGGCTCTAACTTAGGTCACCAGCTTTGTGCTTCAAGTACATTTACCCACTGAGCTATCTCATCTCATCGGTCCAGCAGTCAGCGTACATGTGTATCTTGGTTTTTCTGGAACAACCTTGGTATACACCTGTTGCCATTGTCATTGTCCATCATTTTTACATCAAAAGGGTGGAAGAGAGATAATTTTGTTACTGTAACTTTATGAATTAATGGTAATGATGAGTTGGAAGTGAGAGTGGTTCTAGTGACCCTGAATGTCTTTATTATTCTCTGTTCTCAGGATTTAAGGTTTGGTGCCATCCTGGTCTGCCATGATCACCTTCAATGTGAGCAGTTACAACCCAGGGCCCTTTGTTTTGGTGGGGATCCCAGGCCTGGAGCAGTTCCATGTGTAGATTGGCATTCCCTTCTGTGTGATCTATACTGTAGCTGTCAGGGGAAACTGTGTCCTTCTCTACCTTGTCGCAGTGGAGCAGACCGTTCATGAGCCCATGTTCTTCTTTCTGCCCATGCTGGCCGTGACTGACCTCATCTTGTCCACAGCTACGGTGCCTAAAGCACTCAGTATCCTTTGGCTGGGGCTGGAGAAATCACATTCCCAGGCTGCCTCACTCAGATGTTCTTCCTCCACTATAACCCTGTTCTGGATTCAGCCATTCTGATGGCCATGGCATTTGACCGCTATGTGGCCATTGGCTCCCCTTTGCGATATGCCTCCATCTTGACTCCCAAGACTATTATCAAGATTGCTGCGGGCATCTCCTTTCGAAGCTTCTGTATCATTTTTCCAGACATATTCTTAGTGGCACGCCTACCTTTTTGTAGGACACACATCATACCCCGTACATATTGTGAGCATGTAGGTGTTGCCCGACTGGCCTGTGCTGACATCTCCATCAACATCTGGTATGGCTTTTGTGTTCCCATCGTGACAGTCATCTCAGATGTGATCCTCATTACTATCTCTTACACTCTCATCCTGTGTGCTGTTTTTGGCCTTCCCTCCCGAGATGCACGCCAGAAGACACTGGGCACCTGTGGTTCCCATGTCTGTGCCATCCTCATGTTTTACACACCTTCTTTTTTCTCCATCCTTGCTCATTGCTTTGGACACAATGTCCCCCTCACCTTCCATATCGTGTTTGCTAATCTCTACATTGTTGTACCCCCTGCAATGAACCCCATTGTTTATGGAGTGAAAACCAAGCAGATCAGAGAGAAAGTCATACTTTTGTTTTCCCCCAAAAGCTGCTGATCTATTCATCAGCAGAAAATCCAGGACAAGTCCATGGCATATATAGTGAAACAATGCAGCAAAAATGAAAAGAAAATTCTGCTTAGAACAGGATATGCCTGTAGATGTTTTGTGTACTGGGCAGGATCTACGTAAAAGAGACAATCTTACATATAAAAAAGAATCCTTGGTGACCTCTTTGCATGAAAGAGCTGAGAATATATTTGAATTATTATAAATGAAAAAAATTAAAAAGTCTTGGAAATTGGGATTTGAAACTGCTGTGAGGGAAATGTGTTAATACAGAGATAGTGAATAAAAGAGACTAAGTAGAAAAAATCCGGCAGGAAATCTGTCATTTAAGGGATTAGCTATTTTGGGTATTTATGAAAATATTTAATCCTAGCTATTGTACATTTTATCTCTTAATAATTGCCTGTAAATATGTCCCCCACACTTGCCAAAGCCCTTCAGCCCAGTGTAAGGAACAATTTAGCCAGTGATCGAATGAGAACTATGACAGCAGAAGCAAAGGATCCCGTGTATGAGTGCCACAGTGCTGGCTTGGCACTCTGAACAAGACTAGCTCCTGTGCTCCAACGTTCATGGAGAATATGAGCTGTCGAGGTTGTGCCAGGAGAATACAGCCCCTGAAAACAGATCTGGAAAAGCGCCGTACTTCCCACATTGCACAGACTTCAAGCTGTTTTACTGAGACACTAAAGTAAAATTTAACCACGCTGGTCAGAGGACGTGTGGAGCACTGTTATAGATCACAATCCCTTGATTGAAATAAAGATTCCAGTGTAAGATGTTTCAAAGCTGAGGAAAAACAAGGACGGGAACGCTATACTGGAGATGTAGCTAATAAACTCAATCCCAGTTTCATAGCTGGAAGAACTTAGGAAATACTACATGCTATCAGTAAATTGAGAGCTGATGGATCCCAGCGGTTCTCTAAGGCTCTGGGGAGTTGTCATGATGCTGCTCAAGGTATGTGAGGTAGAAGTTATTTGTCCCAATTCTCCATACTATTTCCCTACACTGTAGCAGACCTGCTGTTATCCTGTTTGTATATCAAGTGCCTGGGTAAGACTCTACTTGAAAATTTGAGTTCCTTCAATAACTCTTGTCTTGAAAATCATGAACTTATTTGGAAATTGTTGAGAACCTGCTACATATCTAATATTGTTCTAAGCACTGAGTAATATAAGACTTGAAAAAACAGAGGAAGCATTACCTTATTCCTGTAGAGCTTAGATTCTAGGAAAAAAGACAAATAAGCAATACAACAAAGAAACAAATTCATGGGCTTTAAAAAGTAACATAACAAATGAAATAACAAAGCCAAATATGGTGACGAACTGAAACTTGGTGACGAAGGTCCTCTGGCAGCACACGAAAATAGTCTGCGGCTTCAAAGGACTGTAAGTCTTACCACAGAGATAGTTGCATATCCATGTTTATTTCTGCTCTGTTCGCAATAGCCAGGAAATGGAACAAGCCTGGATATTCATCAACAGATAAATGGATAAAGAAAATGTGGCACATACATAAGGAGATTTTAATCAGCAATAAAGAAAAACGACCATGACGTTTGTAGGAAAATGGATCGAACTGGAAATTATTACATTAAGTGAAGTGACCCAGTTTCAGAAAGACAATGCCGTTTTCTCTCGTGTGGATCTGAGATTTCAATTGTGCGTGCGTGTGTGTGTGTGTGTGTGTGTGTGTGTGCGTGTGTAGGTCATGAGATCACAGAGGTGACCATGAGAAGGCAAAAGAGGTCTTTTCTTTCCCTCATTGACATTAAATATTATTTTAAATTAATTGTATTTTTAAACATCAATATTAGACATCGACATAGAGCTCAAAAGGCTTGTTTTATACACACACACACACACACACACACACACACACACACACACACACATGGCAGTCTTGTGCTCCCAAATGTATTTCCTGCTCTCTAGGCACTGAGCAGTTAGCTATCTTTGCTGGTATTTATGCATGTAGGCTGTAAATGACACAGTTATATTTCTTTGGGTCATATTATTAGGTATTGTGTATGTGTTTTCTGTTGATACTTTATTATGAAGGAGGAGCATTTAGCTCATTTCTCCACTTGCCTGACCACCCCCCCACACACTGTTGTCCCTTCCCTTGCCTCTTTAGAGAGTAACATTATGATTTTGTTATTTTTGAGACAGCCTCTCTCACTCTGTAGCCCAGGCTGGCCTGGAGCCCACTGTGTAGCCCAGGCTGGCTGGGCACTCACTTTGTAGCTCAGACTGGCCTCCAATTTGAGGCAGTCTTTCTGGGTACACAGGCCTGAGCCAGCACACCTAGGTTTGCAGTATAATTTTAATTTCATTGTGGCATGGACCTGCGTATCTTATTATGTCTTGTTCTCTGTTGCTCCCTCCCCCACTTCCCACCTGCGTGCCCCTCCCTACTCTAACTCATTCTCTATTTCTCCCAGATAATACTCCATTTACCTTCTTTAAGTTTTTATTATTATTGTTTACTTTTTGAGCATTTCATACAATATATTTTGACATATTTAGGCCCCCTCCCCTATCTGCACCCCTCTGTCGTATATATTAAGACCTACTGAGCCAAGTTTGTGTCTCTGAATGTCCTCAGGTGTGCATCCATCCACTGAAGCCTGGTTAACCTGTCGAATGACACACCCTACGAGAAGACCAGCTCTCCCTTTCCCAGTAGCTATTGGCTGCCAGTAGTTCGTCAGCTAAGGTTGGAATTTCTTCCCCACTTCTATGTCGGGATGTTTGTCTGATTTGAGCTTGACTAGGTCTTGTGCATGCTGTTACTGTTGTTGTAAGTTCATAGGAGTGACTTGCCAGCTCTGTTTCCTGGTGGTCATTCACAGCCTCTGGCTTTTATAATCCTCTGTCCCTCTTCCTCAATGATTCCTGAGCCTTGGGGGGGGTAGAGGCTTGGCATAGGCATCTTAATTCAGGGATACTCACTCTACAGTCTGTTATTTGCTTTGAACAGCTGAGGTTTTCTGGGTTAGTCGCCATCTGTTGCATGAGGAAGCTTTGCTGATGAGAGTTGAAAGATGCAAATAGTCTTTTTACCCCCTGTTCCCCTGTGTTCCCTGAGCCTTGCTTAGGTGTAGAGGTTGCATTGTAGATGTGTCACATAGAGATGAGAACCTCATTCTCTGCATTTGACTACTTCCAGTGATATAAGGATGTTCAATAAATGTAAGTCAATGAATGTAATAAATCCTATAAATGGACCTAAAGCCAAAAATCATATGCTCATCCCAATACATGAAGAAAAGGCCTTTGACAAAATCCAGCATAGATCTGTGATAAAAGTCCTAGAGAGAATTGGACTAAAGGGAACATACCCAACCCAATTAAGACTATATACAACAAACCCACAGACAACGTCATTCTAACTGGAGAAAAACTGAAGCACTCCATTAAAATTGGGAACCAGATAAGGCTTCCCACTATGCCTACTTGTTTTCAATGAAGTGCTTGAAACTATAGCTAGAGTAATCAGACAAGAGAAGGACATTAAAGAGATACCAATTGGAAAAGAAATCAAATTATCTTTATTTGCAGATGATATGATATTTTACATGAGCCCACCAAAATCCCATCAGAAAACTTCTAGAAATTGTCAACACCTTCTGCAAAGTGGCAGGATACAAAATCAATTTGCAAAAGTCACTACCTTTTCCATATACCAATAACAAATAATCAGAGAAGAAGATCAAGGAAACACTCCCATTCACAATAGCCTCAAAAATAAAATATCTAGGAAAACACCTAATTAAAGACACTAAAGGTATCTACAGTGAAAACTTTAAATCTTTGAAGAAAGAGATTGAGGAAGACATCAGGGGATGGAAAGACCTCCTGTGCTCATGAATTAGTAGAATTAATATTGTGGAAATGACCATCCTAGCAAAAGCAATTTATAGATTCAATGCAATCCCTTTTCTTTCTTATCACATGTATTCCATTAACCTCTTTGGAAAGAAAGAAGTCACAGGTGTGGGTAATAGAACATATGAGGCACGAAAGAAGAAGGAGAGCTATTCGGGCAAGACAGAGTCATCAGGAGGAGGGTGGGGGGATGGCAGAGAGGTGAAGGGAAGGAGGGAAGGAAAAGCAACAAAACAAAGTACATACGAAAAATTAATGATTAAACCCCATTACTTACTAATAAAAAGAAAACTATGGGAATTAAAGCAGTAGCTTAAGGCTTTCAGAGATAAATAGATAATAAACCAGAGCAATATGTAGAACAAAAACAACAGCAGCAGCAGCAAAAGTGAACAAGCAGGCAAACAACTGGGGCAAGGAAGAGCAGATTCTGTGACCTGTGTCATTCAAGCCTCATTCTCAGAAGAGCAAATAGAAACCTACCACCTTAAAGTCACTATCTGAGGCACACAGGAAGTTACTAAGTTGAGCTAGAATAAAATATTTAACCCCCAGTTCAGTGACAATCCCACTGAGTCCAGAGTTGTTTGTAAATCAGACCGAAAGATGGGAAAGTATTTAGGACAATCGGAGTCCGTTTTTACTATTGCTGTCAACTCTAGCTGTCTAATTTTTTTATTTTATTTTTACTTTGTGTGTGTGTGTGTGTGTGTGTGTGTGTGTGTGTGTGTGTCTGCTTCTCTGTGCGTGCACCATGTGCATATGTAGGTACCCAGAGAGGCCAGAAGAAGATGTCAGATCCTTTGGAACTGGAGCTAGAGGCAGCTGTGAGCCTCCTCATGAGTGCTGGGAACTATACCTGGCTCCTCTGGAAGAACAGCGAGTGCTCTTAACAGCTGAGCCATCTTTCCAGCCCCTCGAGCTGTCTTTTCAAAATTTAAATTTTATAGTAACCATGTCATTAATTTAAATTAAGAAATAATTAGATGTACAGTATAATGTTGTTATACATATATATTGTTGAATGATCAAATCAGTCTATCAGTCTAATTAACAGATCTATCATTTCATTTATTTATTTGAAGTTAGGAATACTTTAAAATCTACTCCGTAACAGCAATTTTGAATGCATCGTTATCACATTCCAATGCCATCACCACGAGAGTACCAGAACTTATTTCTCCTGTCCAACTCTGTGTCCTTTACAAATATCTTCCCCCTTTTGCTGCTTCTTTCCTCTCTACTTTCTGGTTATCCACCACCATGCTGCACTTCTATTGGAATTCTAGTGATCTTAAATTGAGCTTTCTTATACTCTAAGAGGGATTTTCTTTCTGTATTAGGTTGCTGAAAGTTGTCACAACTATGAGAAGATTTTCTGCCATTTTAATTTTTTACTGGTAATTTTCATCATGCCGAGAACACGGATTAGCCAAGAACTGATATTTTTAAGTAGTTACTGAGGATTCAATAAATAGGTTGGGATAACTTGAGAGTGCATACTCTATTCATCTTGGTAGGAACCCAAACCCAAGATTATTCACAGACACGCATGAATGGCTCCCATGAAAGACTAATGGAGTTAAAAAGCAAAACAAAAGAGAAGGGACCATTGTGTGAACTGTCTTGTCCTCCTCTCTTCCGTCTCTGGTTCAGAGTTCTGCTATTATTTTTCTACCCTCCTTCCTGAGACAACTTATATTTATAATTCTATATGACATCCTTGTTGGTAACCCTATATGAAACTCGGTTTTGTATGCATGATCTTTCTAATAATGGGAATGTTTGCTTTCTTCCTCATAGGGTCAATACTAAGGGAAGGTGTATGAATGTGCTTTGCAGGTGGTGAAGTGCATTAGCCGCTCTGTCATCATCTTTACTGTCGCCCTCACTTAAGGTCCATCATGTTGAAAGCTGAGCTCATATTTTTTTTTCATTTTAAATCCCCCTTCTTCTTTGCTCTTCATAAAATGACAAAACAGGTTAGGCCCAGTTTCTCTTTCCCTAAGTTCAGATTTACAGCCATAACTGTCCATGGCACTTTCTGCTGTGAGGTTTTAAATTTTCTGTTATAGTCAGACTGTGAATGAAATTACATGTTCTGATTTGTACCAAAGAATGATAATTATACAAAGTCAGCAGGTGAATTTCTCACACCTGGATGATCTCATCCTCTGGATTTTCTCTTTGTGCGTATTTCTCATCTGCAGACTTCTATTGCTTATGTGTCTCATCATTGTGACAAAATACCCTGACAAAAGCAGTTTAAGTGATGAGAGCTTTATCTTCTTCACAGATGGTACGGCCTACCATGACAGGCAAGGCATGGCGACTGGAGCAGCTTGGATCACTGCTGAGGAGGTTGCAGCTTAGTTTGTTCACATCTTTTATACTTTGAAAAATATGTTTTACGTTGGTGACAGGTGCCTTTTTACCCACGGAGCCATCTCACTGGCCCCTTTTCACATTTTGATGGCTCTCGATGCAGAAAATGATACTAGAAGCAGAGTCAGAGCATGACCCCCCAAATTTTCTTTGTCTATTGCAAGGATTTAAAGGCTGGGTTCCTCACTGAGAAGCTCAGGAACCGTCATTGCCTTTGCACAGTGGGCTTGTTGTTTATGTTCCCTAACTACATTGCACCAACTACTCCCAAAGACCCTTGGTTACAACATACATATACAAATCACACTCACCCCCACCCACCCACTCAATAAGGAAAAGCCCCAACATGAGAGGGGATTATTTTCGTATTCTAGAATGGTCAAAATATATGTATAAATTTTCGATGCTGTTTGCTAATGTATGAATTTGTCCTGTAAATGTATACACAAAATTTCATTACAGCTGCTGGGGACTAAAACCAAGCGTGAACCTGGATCTCTGTGGTGAGACACTGGGAGTCATTAAGTTATTTGAAATAAGAAGTTTTACATTTTGCGGGGGAAAGGAAGTATTGGGAGACGATAATGTCTATTACTGGACTATAGGAACCCGCCACATATTTCTAGCTGGCATCTTAGACAGGAAGAGGTTTATTTATTTATTTATTTGTTTATTTATTTATTTTTCATTTATATTTATTTTTAGCTCTTCTTGCCAAGTCAAACAAACTTTTGTAATGCTGTTCTAGGTCAGCTGAGCTCAAGGCACTTGTCAGATGTTTTATACATGTTACCTTAGTCTACGCAGTCACTGGATGGGGGAGGTATACAATCCTCATTACACTGAGAAAGCATTAAGCTCAGAAGAGTTAAAGAGAGCACTCAAGGCTACACAACAGCGAAGCTTTAGTTAAAAGTCTGGGCTGTTTCCATCAAAGTGCTTCATCACTTTATAGAGCTAAGCGGAATAATAGCTGCAAGTGTCCAGATGGCAGTGACTTTGCTATCTGTGGACAGTGAAGATAGTATTCACCTGACTACTGTTGCCTTATCTAGTGGATCTTCAGGGACCTCTCTGCTCATTCTCCATCTCTCCCAAGCCAGGCCCGTAAGCCCAAGGCCCAGGAAAGTCCTCAGAGATAGCTGCGAATCTCTGCTAATTCCTCAGTAATACCACACAGCTGAGACTTCAAGCCGTCAGGGGCCCAGCATTCACGGCCCCTGAGATGTGCATAGCAGAAGCCCATAAATCCTATTCTCTGGCTACAGCTTTCTCTCAGCCTGCCATGGCAGTATCTTTGAAGTCTCTGAGATCCCAGGAACACTGACAGCTGAATGAGACTGCGGAAGCAAGGGCTGAGGCAGGACTGGGTGGATAGAGATGGGCTATCTTTTTCTCATCTTTAATCCCACCTCGGCACAAAGGTGAGAAGCCCCTGTCCCACCAGCAGTAGCAATTCTTCAGTCAAGGTCAAGTCCAGTCTGTGGACTTCTGTAGAAACGTCTCCCCTTACAACTTCCCCCTAGGTCTCGTCCACGTATGTAGCTCAACACTGAAGGTCAGAACTAGTGAAATGGGTTGTTCAGAATTTCCTTTCCCCTTTTCCCAGAACAGGAGGAGACCAGCTTGAATAAGGCTCTACTGCTGTGCTGCCCTGGATGTGTTCCTTAGCCTTTCTGACTTTAATTTTCTGCTATACAGAGGAATAGGAAGTAAGGAAGGGGCAGAGTGCCCTCCCATATTTGAGAATTCCACACCAAGTGTTCCACTTATCTCTGACTCACTGTTTTGGGTCAGAGTAGTGAGGATCGGTAGTGTGCCAGGATAACCTTGGAAACAGCCTAATTCAACAGGTTCGACTGGCAAAGGAAGTCCTTTCTTTGATCTAATCTGATCTAATAAAAAACCTTCACCCTTCCGTTGAGTCAATTAAAAAAATAATCTCAGCACCTTCTGCTGCCCCAAATCTTTCTTCAGCTCCCAACTCATGGTTTGTGTTTTATATTTAAGACAGATGAAAGTATGATCCACATTGTGAAACTGAGAACCAAGAGCGCAGTGGAAAGGGTCACAGAAGGACTGATTCAAAGAGTAAGGAAAGATGACAGCAGGAGCAGCAATGTTTAGTGTGTGCTGAATATTTACTATGGTGCAGGCACTGTTGAGTCTCACATAATTCTTCTTTTTTTTTTATGTTTTCTTGCACTGCTGGGGCTTGAATCTAGAACCTTCTGTAAGCAAGACAAGTGCTCTACCACTGAGCTACGCCTGCAGTCATACATCCCCTTTTATGTGGCAATACTAGAATTTGAAAGTAGAAAATCTGGCTTCAGAGCCCACTCTGAGTTGTACCATTGCTCTGAAATGAGAATGAAGAGGAGGAGCAAGAAAAATGTAAACACGCAGTTTCCATCCTACCCGTGTCTTCCAAAGTCAGGTGGTGAACCACATTTGGGTTAAATCATGCTTCCAAACTCACTGATTCTCCTAAAATCATACAGAAAAAGAGACAAAACACAGGCTGTATAAATTTATTTCTTGAACCTTTCTCCTATGCCTCATTTCCTCCTGGTGTATCTGGCTGCACTTAATACATGCCGTAGTGTTCTGTTGTGACTGGATAGCTGACCTTGTCCTTCAAGTGTCTTAGGCAGGAATTGGTGTATGTGTCACCTGGAGTGCAGAGGCTCCGAGGACCCACAGTTACCCTGAGGACAAACAACAGGAAAGCTGGGGGAGAGATGGTGACCTCCCTGTAAGCTCTGGAGGTAGCAGAGGGTGGGGACAAGTCTTAGTTTCCAGGTGGCTCATGCATTAGTACTGTCCCAAGGACTGACGTTGGTAGAAAGGAGCTCATGTGTAAATGGAGTCGGAGCAGAAGCACCCTTACAGCAGAAGGGAAACCCAGAGTCACACAGAGATTTAGAATCTGTCAGAGTGGGACAGGCAGCTTCGGTAAAGAAAGAAACTGCTATCCTGAGAGGAAGGAAGCCAAGGATAGGAGGTGGGGGTGGGGAAAAGAACAGACCTGGCCTGGATCTAGAGGATTTTGTGTGTGGCCTCAGGTCTATGTGACCATATCCTTTTCTACATTGGTTTCCTGACCGTAGAAAGCAGCACGAGACAGTGTAAATGGCCTCAAGTGATACAGCGGAACAATACACCACAGCCCACAGTCAGCCCTGTCCTACAAGCACAGGGAGACTAGATGCCCACCCTTTCCTCCTCCTTCTGTGCGCTGCTTGCTGAACTGGAACTTGCTGAGGAAAGAGAAGCTGGTGAGGCCTGCGTGTGGGGTGAGGAGTCTGGGAATTCAGAGAACAGAGCAGGGAGACAGAGGATGAGAAGGACACAGAGATGCTTGCAGAAACCCAGACACAGGGCAGAGGTGAGGCTGGAGGGAGCATAGAGGGTTCTTAGTCCCCATTCACTTAGTGTATGGGGGTACAAAGAAGGAAATGTGTGCTATGGTTCTGAAGGGTCTAGAGTAGTTGTCCCTGGACTGTTTCCAAGAGGAAGTGTGCTTGTAGATCCCTTGCTTTGAGTACATGACTTTGTTAAGAGGCCCTTGCCTGGGTACTAATTGTACTTGCCCTGTGGTTTGGGGACAAACATTGCCAGATACTGAGGGAATTCTTATCTTCCATTCTTTGTAGCCTGTTATGTGGTAAGCGGGGCCTCAGCAGGATGTTCTCAGGGGTCCAGTGGAGTCCATGGGGCCCGGAGGTGAGGGGATGGGATGGGCCTGGATGACTTGGCAAAACGTCACCTTTCAGAAAGGAAGCTTTGGTTCCTAAACTAATAAGACTCTCGTGGGAATGTCAAGTGTGCGCTTTAACTTGTCTCCACTCTGTGGGAGTCAGGGTGTGGGGATGTGAGTGAAGCAGTGTTGTGAACAGGGCCACGTGGGGAGCTCGCCAGCTGCACGGGGTTGAGGGCCTTCTGCTCTGCTCACCTGCCCCAGGTTCCTCAGTCTGCAGGGCCAGACCAGGTTAGAATACCAGGTTCTACTCAGGAAACTGAATGACAAAAACTGTGGTCTTTAGGTAGAGAATAAAAAATCTACCCTCTTTTATACCCTTCCACCAGGCTGGAGAGTGTGTGTGTGTGTGTGTGTGTGTGTGTGTGTGTGTGTGTGTGTGGGTGTGTGTGTGTGTGTGGGTGTGTGTGTGTGTGTGGGTGTGTGTGTGTGTGTGGGTGTGTGTGTGTGTGTGGGTGTGTGTGTGTGTGTGGGTGTGTGTGTGTGTGTGGGTGTGTGTGTGTGTGTGTGTGTGTGTGTGTGTGTGTGTGTGTTGTGTTTTGGTGTTTGAGGTGGTCTAGACTGCCCTGGAGACCATAAGCCTCCTCAGTGCTTGGATTATAGATGTGCACTGCCATGCCTGGCTCAGGTCTATCCACTTAAACAGAGGTAAGTGAAAAATGCCTTCCTTTCAGCATTCAGCATCTTAACCTGGTGGCCAGCTGCAGTCACTAAAGCACCCAATCCTTTCCACTGCCAGCCAGGGTAGATGATCTATGTCCTTCCTGGCCATCAGATTATCCCAACCAGATTCCACAGAGTCCATAGTATCTTTTCAAGGACAAAACCCCCAAAACCAACCAAACCAACCAACCAAACAAACAAAAAACAGGAAAGAGGAGTCAGAAAGTTGGGTTCGAGGATAGACGTCAATACTGATCAAAGAATTAAATTCTACAAATCGTGTGTCTAGAGCTGTGGTGGCTCTAAGCAGAGGGACAGGAAGCTGTAAAATGTATTGAACTGACTGGGAGGAATGGAGTTTTGGAGAGTGGCTCTGAACTTTATGTGCTCTCTGAAATAGATCATGAAACAGGAGTTATTTCTGAGCATCTGCTAGTAAATGGCTTGGAAGAGATTTCTCCCTTGTTTCCTTGCATCTCTCCTGGAATGGAAGAAGACAGAGTCTGTCTACCACTGAGAGAGTTGGTGGGCTGGTGCAGGAGCATTGCACCAA